GTGTGTGTGTGTGTGTGTGTGTGTGTGTGTGTGTGTGTGTGTGTGTGTGTGTGTGTGTGTGTGTGTGTGTGTGTGTGTGGGGGGGCGCAGGTCGGCTATGACACGCGTCCGCGGATAGAGAAAATCAGTGCCATGGCGAGGGATGGGAGGGATCGATCGGATAGGATGGCAGAAGAGGCGCGAGCGCACTTAGCTCGTCCGTTCCCCCTCTTCTCCCTCCACTTCCTCTTTTCCCCTGCTCCCCTTGCCCCCGTCTCCCCCTCCTCCTCCACCTCCTCCCTTCCTCCCTTCCCCTGGTAAGAGGCAGCGCCCCGCGTTCCCGCTCCTCGCCTCCCCGTCCTTCCTCCTCCCATCCCTTGCCTCTTCCCTCCCCATGTCCTCATCGTCGTCATGTGGGCGCATGCAGTTCCACTTCCATTTCGGCGCACCCCTCACACGTTTCGTGGCCCAGTAGGGTGCTCCACCAGAGGTCCCAATGGCAGGGTCTGCATGCAGTTCCACCCCTAATCCAGCGCACCCCTCACACGTTTCGTGGCCCCATCAGGTGCCCCCACCGAAGGCCCCAGTGGCAGGGTCCGCATGCAGTTCCAACTCCGCTTCGGCGCACCCCTCACACGTTTCGTGGCCCCATAGGGTGCCCCACCAGAGGCCCAAGTGGCAGGGACCGTATGCAGTTGCGCCCCCATTTCGGCGCACCCCTCACACGTTTCGTAGCCCCGCAGGGTGTTCCACCGAAGGTCTTTCTGGCAGGGCCCACATGCAGTTCCACCTCCAATCCAGCGCACCCCTCACACGTTTCGTGGCCCCACAGGGGGCTCCACCAAAGGTCCCAGTGGCAGGGTCTCCGCATGCAGTTGCACTTCCATTTCGGCGCACCCCTCACACGCTTCGTGTCCCAATAGGGTGCTCCACCAGTGGCCCCAGTCGCAGGGTCGCACCTCTCACACGCTTCGTCGCCCCGTCAGGTGCTCCACCCAAGACCCCAGTGGCAGGGTCAGCATGCAGTTCCGCCTCCATTTCGGCGCACTCCTCACACGTTCAGTGGCCCACACGGTGCTCTACCATAGGCCCCAGTGGCAGGGTCCGCATGCAGTTGCGCCCCCATTTCGGCGCACCCCTCACACGTTCAGTGGCCTCATAGGGTGCTCCACCGAAGGACCCAGTGGCAGGGTCCGCATGCAGTTCCAATTCCGGCGTACCCCTCACATGTTTCGTGGCCCAAAAGGGGGTTCCGCCAAAGGCCTCAGTGACAGGGTCTCCGCATGCAGTACCACCTTCATGTCGGCGCACCCCTCACACGGTCTGTGGCGCCGTAGGGTGCTCCACCTGGTCATCAGCATCAGCATCATCACCATGATCATCTTCCCGCTCCTTCCTCCTTCCTCCCACTCGTGCCTCAGCACTCCTAGTCCACAATTCAGCACACCAATCGCACGGTTCGCGGCCGCACAGGGAGTTCCGCCCAAGGACCAAGGGGCAGGGTCCGCATGGCGGCCCCGCCTCATTTCGGAGCACCCCTCAGACGGTTCGTGGTCCCATAGGGAGTTCCACCCAGGGCCCCAGTGGGAGGGTTCGCATGGATGCCTCGCTCCATTTCAGCACACCCCTCACGCGGTTCGTGGCCTCATATGAAGCTCACCCCATGGCCCCGTGGGAGGTTCCGCATGGCGGCCCCCCAGTATTTCGGCACATCCTTCACGCGGTTCGCGGCCCCAAGGGAGTTCCACCCAAGTCCCCAGCGGGAGGTTCCGCACACCCTTCACCCGGTTCGCGGCTTCATAGGTGGTTCCACCCAAGGGAGGTTCCGCATGGCGTCCCCGCCCCACTCCGCACACTTCTCACACGGTCCGTGGCCCCATAGGGAGTTCCACCCAGGGCCCCAGCGGAAGGGTCCGCATGGCGGCCCAACCCCATTTCGGCAAACCTCTCAAAGTTTCGTGGCCCCTGTGGCAGGGCCTCTCTCTTCATTCCGTTTCCCTGGCGACGCTCGAAGGGCCCACTGGCAGCGCCCGCGTGGCGGCCCCTGGCAGACTCTTCACGCGCTTCGTGGCCCCATTCGGAGACCCACCGAGGACGACCCTCACAACGACGGCACTCAGAACTGCACATGGCGTGGTCTCTCGACAGGCTGATGTTTTGGGGGCGCGTGAGATTTTGCTGTGCCCACTCGCCTGGCCCCTCCCCCCTCCTTCCGACGGTGGCGGCGAGCAGAAGCTGACGGTGCCGTTCTCCCCTCGTCACCATCCTCCGTCTTATCCTTCCCTCCATCCCTTTCTTCCGCCTTCCTCTCTCCTTCCTCCATTCCACCCTTCCTCCCCACCCTCGCCCTCCCCTCCTCCTCTCTCCTCTTCATCCTGCTCCTCTTCCCCCCTGCTCCTCCCTCCTGCGGCCTCCTCTTGCGTTTGCTGCTTCTGCTCCTTCCCCATCAACCCTCCTACTGCCAGCGACTTGCTTCTCAACCGTAATTCAGGCCCATGGCCACCTCAGAAATTCTGGGCAG